ACAAAATAAAATCTAATTAAATAAGGATATATTTAAAGAAAATAAAATAATTTCTATAACTCTATCACATTAGACAAGGATATATTTAAAGAAAATATATAATAATACATATAAATAAAATATAAATGTTAAAGAATTTGAACATTTCAGTATTTATTTTTTAGTATAAAAAATATTTATTAATTAATACAAAAAGAGAACTCTATCACGTATAAGTATATAACCCTTGTATTTATCTATTTTTCAGGAGTTTATTAATAAAAGAAAATCTAATTTTACAAAGATATCTTAATAAAATAAAATAATTTCTATAAAATTTTACCATAAATTACATATTTAAAGAAAATAAAATATAACCTAAGGTCTTCCAAAAATCACAAACTCCATATAATAAATTTTTATATCAATTTCAATCTAATGTATAATTAGTATAATTGAATTTTTATTTAAAATTTAATTAAAAATTAATATAATTGAATTTCTATTGTAAATTAAAAATTATACTAAATTTCAAATTATCTAATAAAATTCAAATTACAAATTACCTAATAAAATTCAAATTACCTAAAAAAATTTATTACTTTGCAAAACTCAAATATTTCACTATTAAAATAAAAAAATTATTATTTAATAAAAAATAAAATATACATATTTCAGTATTAATATGAAAACATAGAAGAATTTATTAATTTACGAAACTTAAACTCTATCACCAATTTCAAAATATTTCAGTATTTATTTATTAATATCAAATAAATTTTTATTAATCAATATGAAGACAGAAATTTTATAAGTTACAAAATATTCACCACGTGCATGGCACGGGCCTTTTCCTAGTATATGTATATATTTGTGGAACACTATAATTGTAGAATACTATAATCTTGAAGAATCGTAAGTTTTTATTGATATTTGTAGATATTTATAGATTTTTTGTTTTGTTGTGAGATCTTTTAAATTTTATTAATATCTTTATTATTATTATTATTTTAGAAGTTTGTAGATCACCACACTTCTTAAATGTTTTAGTAGAATATCACATTATATACTTATAAATTTTTTTTTTATGATTATTGTGATAGTGTCAATTGTAATATATTTAGTTTATTATTTGTTACATATTCTTTATTGTCCTTACAAATATATATATATAAAAATACTAAGATGTGTATAGCGGAATTTTTTATCCCAAATTTTTAGTATATATAACGTATTATACGCGTACGTATCCGTATTCATATTTTTACATCTTCGTATTTTTTTGCCGAATTTTTTAAACGTATTTATAAAAAAATATCGAATTATACTCGTACGTTTTCGTACCCGTATTTTACTAACTATGCTTAGGACACACCAAAACCAAATAAAATTCGTATGAAAATATTGATTCTCTCTCTAACAACTAACTAAATTGTATGTCCTTGGTCACTTTCCAAGAATTTGTTTATGTGAATATCATTTAATATCAGAGGGTATAGTTGTACCTTTCAAAGCTCCATGCATATAATGCCCACACATATGATTGATCTGCTTTCATGACCATCTATCATTTAAGGATTAAGTGCAAAAATAAAAAATTTTGATGTATAAGATTTGTGCATAAATAATTTTTATTTTTTGAAAATGTGCATTTCACTTCATTAAAAAAAAAAATAATAAAAAAAATAAAATAAAATAAAATAAGTCCCTCTAATCATTTTTTGGACAAAATTGACATAAAATAAATTCAAAAACTCTATTTTGTCCTTGGGTTAAGTGCAAAAAACCCTCTTTACTATCGATATAATGCAAAATAGTCCCTCTGTGGTATAAAACCCCCTATACTATCAATTTGGTGCAATTACCCCCCTGTTTACATAAAAATACATTAATACCCTCTCTAATATAAGTGAAATAATATTAAAAATATTAGGCAATGTAAAATTCCCGTTTTTTATAATTTATTCTTTTTTTTTTTCCTTTTATTTTTATTTTTATTTTTATTTTTTTCCTTTGTATTTGGTTGATTGATTTGTAGGTCGTGGTGGTGAAAGGTTCAGAGCCGGCCGAGGTGATGGAGGAAGATGAGGAAGGGGCTTCGGAGGAGGAAGAAGCCTCAGAGGCCCCAGAGGTGACGGCGGCTTTAAAAGTCGTGGTGGTAGTAGAAGTGATGAAGGAAGAGGAAGGGACAAAGGCGGCCGCCATCTCGTCGTCGTATAATGAGACCTCAACCTTTCACCGTCAACCAAACTCCGGCGGCAAGCTCTCATCCTTACCCGACAACAAACTCCAATAAATTCAGACCCTTCTCATCAGTTGCCATCACCGATGACACATTAACGGCATCCCGAGCTCGCCGTTCTTTACCGTCGCCAACAGCCATCAACAGCTGGGTTTGTGATGTGGCTTTGTTTAATGACACACTGAGTTAACTCAACAGATTGGCGCTAAACTTTGGCTATGGGCTTAAATTGAATGGTCAAAATAAACATAATGGTGGTGGTGGTGGAGCGTAGGAGAGAATGGTAAAATATGAAAAGAAAAGGGCAAAATAAGGTTTTTGAATTTATTTTATATCAATTTTAATCAAAAAGTGGTCATGGGGGCTTATTTGCACATTTTTTAAAAAAATTTATGGACTGAAATGCTCATTTTCAAAAAGTATGGACTATTTTTGCACAAACCCTATACATCAGGGGGGTTTTTGCACTTAACCTAGAAATTTATATTTGAGAGGGTATTAATGTCTTTTTATGCGAACAGGAGGTAATTGTACCAAATTAATAGTATATGGAGGTTTTATACCACACAGAAACTGTTTTGCACTATATCGATAACAGAGAAGGATTTTTTTGCACTTAACCCCATCATTTAAATAGGGCCTAATTAATTAAATGTGTTTGTATGGATTATGGAACAAGAGAAATGTGTTTGTCTGGAACAATAATAATAAACCTAAATGGTAGCGCATATATATATATACATATATATATTTATCTAGAAGCCTAGAGCTCATAGAGGCTATATACCGGAAATATTCCTAGTAAATTACACACGCCTCCTCTAAAATTTGTTGTAATTTACCCATTTAATTATGACCTATAATTTTCATTTTTTTAATTTACCCATTTAATTATGACCTATAATTTAAAATCAGTGTTTGGCCTAAAACACTTCAATCGTGAGATGATACTCCAAAGTCCACGAAAATCTCTACACATTGAAAATTTGAAACTCACGTGATATGATACTTCAACCGAGCATTTCTGTTGAAGTATAATTTTCCAATGAAAAATACATACTTGCTTCCGTACATTTAACGAGGTACCTAAATTATTCTTTGAAATTCCTAATAGCCAATGTGAATATATAGACTATAATATGATGTGTTGATTATCATTGATCAATAGGGCCTGCTGGCCTCATGTGCCATTGGGAGGAAAGCAAAAGGTTGGCCCAAACCAGGGTTGATCAGGGCCCAAGTCTCAGCCCTAAGCCCAGGACTGAACAGATGTAAAGACGCTCGTCCCTTTTCTCTGAAAAAAAGATTACTTTCTTGAAAATTTAGATTGTACAACAAACTCATTCAAAACTAGGGGCGGTTTGTACAGCCAACTCAAATCCAATCATCTTTTTTTTTTTTTTTTAAGTAATCCAATTTTATCACAAGTTTGGACATCATCTTTTAAATTGTGATGGAGTTAGGATTGAAAAATACAAACTTGGATTTTAATTCGAATTGATGTCTCAAATAAATATTAATATTAAGGATTAAAATCATAATACTCTCAAAATTTCAAACTGTTTTAGAAAATTTCAAACTTTAAAAAAATATCACATTATCCCAATATCAATATTCAACCCATTAAGCGGGTTATGAAATGACAAATTTATTCTAAAATTAGGTAAAAACTATTTTTTAAAATTACAAAAATTATGTTTTAGAAAGAGTGAGGGAGTGGTGAAGAAAAAGATTAAAGGGTATTTTTGTAATTTTAAAAAATAATTTTTAATTTAACATTAAATAGTAAAATTAAATTTGTCATTTCGTATCCCGATTAACGAATTGGATACGAATATTGGGGCAATGTGATCAATTTTAAAAAATATAGAAATTTTCTAAAACAGATTAAAGTTTTATAATCAATTTTTAAAAATAGTGAGAATTTTATGATTTTAACCCTAATATTAATTCATTGTACAGTTAATTAACCATGAAAATTTATTTATTTTACCTTCCAAATGATAGATTAATGGTCCAAGTCTTTGGAGCGACTGGATATGTTTGTTATTAGCCAAGTTTATAAAAATATAATAAATGAACCACCAAAGCAAGCTACACGCCTATTTTAATTCTTTACAGAATTAAAATATTAAAATTTATAAATCAATTGTACGATAATTCTCTATATAATATTAGTTTTAGTATATATGTATACTAAAAAAATATAATCCAAAAATGAGAAAAATAAAACTTAAATATATAGATGGAAAAATGATATAAAAAAAGTAGAACACAGAGAAGTGAAAATGATAAGTTACAAATAAAAAATGAAATAAAAAATTAAAAGAACTAATAAAAAAATATTATTAGAGAATTAATTTTCTATTCGCAGTGTCTCTTAAATAATAAACTTCTTGAGAAAATTTTTGAGCACTTTGATTTCATTTTGAAAAAATTATTTCATTATTATTTTGTTGAACTATTAAAAACATTAGGGCCTGTTTGGAAGCCCAAATCTGATATTGTTTTGATGTTTTGGTTTTGTATTTTGGGCCAGTATCATGTTTGGAGTGGGCTAATATGGTATTGAATAGTGTCAAAACATTACTAGATTTGGGCCAAAACCCATATAAAAGAATTGGTGATATTGGGTGATATATACACTGTAGCGGCGATATCAACCCAAACCAAAAACATATCAACCCTCGTTTTTACTATTACCGTGATATCAACTATAAAATATCGCATATCAGGATTTTGCCATTTTTAGGGCCTGTTCGGAGGCCCATATCTGATATTGTTTTGGTGTTTTCATTTTGGTTTTGGGCCAATATCATGTTTGGAGTGGGCTGATATGGTATTTAACAGTGCCAAAACATTATCATTTTTGGGCCAAAACCCATATCAACATTTTGGTGATATTTAGACTGATATGGCACTGTAGCGGTGAATTGATCTCAAACCAAAACCAAACCAACCCTCGTTTTTATTGTAGCGGTGATATCATGTATATAAGGTCGCATATCAGATTTTAGGTCATTTTTCAGCATCGTTTCTCTCTCTTCGCGTAGCTCCCTTAAAGGCGACTTCAGTGGCGATCCAACCTTTTCCACCACCGATCTGGCAGAGCTCCTCCACCAGGTATGTCATTTTGTGTCTCTGTTTGTATCTATAGATCACATATATCTTCGCTTTTGAGATTTACATTTGGGAGGTCCTCGTGTTCACTTTCTCTCTCTAATATTGTGACAATCAGAGTCTATATTGCGTTTCCAAGTTCTGATCTTTATTCCAATCATGTTGTGAGTGTTGTAATTTAGGGCATTTGTGTCTAGATCTCAAGTTTCTCCACCACCGATCTGGCAGAGCTCCTCCACCAGGTACGTCATTTTGTGTCTCTGTTTGTATCTATACATCACATATATCTTCGCTTTTGAGATTTACATTTGGGAGGTCCTCGTGTTCACTTTCTCTCTCTAATATTGTGACAATCAGAATCTTTATTGCGTTTCCAAGTTCTGATCTTTATTCGAATCATGTTGTGAGTGTTGTAATTTAGGGCATTTGTGTCCAGATCACAAGTTTCATGAGGCTGTGACGGAGATCTAGGGTTTGATTTTAGCCCTGTTTCTGGGTTGTTTCTTCTATCAACCATGGTTCTGATATAAGGGTTTATATGTCATCCATCGATTGTGTGTGTTGCAATGTGGAAGCAATTAGAATGTTGACTGAGTTAATTATAACTATCGATTTTAGCGATATTTTCAAGATCTGTTCTTGGTCCAAATTACAATTTTGCAAAGGATCTGTATTATGTATAAATCAACCTAACAGGCTCTTATATCATATCAGGCTTGATCGTACATTAAAAAGCAAAATTAAAATTGATATTTGTAAATTATTAAATTGTTTGAATGATCAATTTGTTGTATTATATTATTTAAGGACAAATGGGAGGACAAAAGATTCGACAAAAGGATAAAATTTAAACATTCATCAACTTTTAAATTCTCAAACTTAGGATGATGAAATCTACAGCCAATATATATATATTTTTTTAATTTGTGCATTATTTTGGCTAGGCCCCGCCAATATTTTAATGTATGCTTCACAGTTCTGTAAACATTCAAACCAGTATAATTTAGACGACTTGAAAAAGAAGAATAAATACAAGTAAATCCTAGAATAAAATTTAAACTAGGGAATTCAAATATCAACAGAAAATGGAGTTTCACTATTATCTTTCCACAAGACCATAACCAACAAAAACAGACCCTAAATGTAAAAAACAGAACAAGACTTGAGAATACAAGAATTAGAGTACTAATCTTGATAACAGAACAACTTCCAGCTACAGCACCAAGAAATCCAAATGACAACCCTGATATTATGAAGAATACACCTAAAAAAAAAACACAACAGACCTGGTCAGAGCTAACAGGCCTGCTGCAGAGTAAGAGATGGCACAACATAAGCAAAAGCATTAGATCCTCAAAACAGATTCAGGCAAATCCAAATCCTGTTCTGAGTTAGCAATTTATTTAAACAGGCAAGCGAACAGATAAAAGAATGCTTGTGAATAGCTCCTTTAAACCAAACAGTCTCATTCCAAGCAACAACATTTTTCTTAGGTCTAATATTTTCCCAAGCAGTTTTAATGGTAAACTGCCCCTTACTAGGTAACAAAATAACTTGATCATTATTTAGAAAGGCTGGAAATCTGAAGGTATGGCATTCCTTAGCTCAATAAGCTCAAGGGTGTTGGTTTGAGGCCACTGCCAGTGGTTATTAACTATAATATCAGCCACAGTTGTTTGTTCATTGTAAACCTGAGTCAAAGATGACTCTATTACCTATTCTCATCACAATAGGGCTCATAGGGAGCCAATAGTCATTCCATAACCAAGTGTGTGTCCTTTTACCCACTTGATGCATAATAAACATTCTAAAGTTAGTTCTAATTTGTAAGATTTTCCTCCAGCTCCAAGAACTACTTTGAGGAATTTTAATAGACCAAAAGTCTCTATTTCTAAGGAGATGAACTTTAACCCATTCAGTCCATAGAGATTGAGGCATCACTTGAACAACTTCCCATAAGTTCTTAGCCATAGCGGCCCTGTTCCAAGCATTCAACTCCAAAGACTCAAACCACCTTCCTTTTTAGGGTAACAAACATCATCCGAAGCTACTTTTGAACCAGCATTCATTAAAGAACTACCCTTCCACAAGAAATGCATTAAAACTGAATTTAATTTATTAAAAAGAATAGCCTTATTATTTTATTTTTTTTATAAGTAATAATATTTAAAAAGGCGTTCAATAGGGGAACTCGTCCCGTAGACATAAAAGAAACCGGGGTCTAAGGCCCCAAAGAATCCAAAAAAGAAATTAAATCAACAGAAGAGGAACACGAACTTTTGTTCACATAACTAAATAGAGAACGAATCGCTTGTTGAATATTTGAATATTCATTGGTAATATAAGAAAAAGAATAAACATTTACATCTCTTTGAAAAAAATGCACTGATAATTTGTCAAATCTTGTCAATTCACATTCGAATATTTGTTGATATTATACAAAAATTCATAGGGTTACAATTAAGTTTCTAAAGAATGGCCTAAAGAATACTATTATACATTTATTTACTGGAACACTCACCATGCACTAAATGATTAGAATATTCTCTCAGTATATTATGCACACATCTGAAACAAAAATATGATTGTTGCCATCCAGAGGTATTACTTCTGTGAAATGTACTTGCAATAATATTTCCCTGAAATTTCGTAAAGAGATAAAGACAGTACCTTGTGTGTTATACTGCTATATACCACTTTCCTTCACCTTGCTCTTCGTGAGATGAAGTGTTTTATAGACAGTACATTTTTTACTTATCATTGACGTGTTGAATTATGAGTCAAAACACAATTCAATATACTAAACTGTTCAATTACTTAATAATAATCAGATGGACATGAACAATGACAATGTTGAGCAATACCCATCAAGAGACATTCATTCTCTTGATGGTGACAATGGTGAGGATGTTGTAGTTGTTGAACAGGCCGATGCCGCTGTTTGGTGTAATGCCCATCAAGAGAAATTCATGCTCTTGATGGAGGAAGAGGTTGGAAAAGGAAATCGTACAGGCACGACTTTTAATCCAAATGGGTGGACACATATTGTGGACGCAATGTTATTAGAAACTGGAAAGAAGTACACGAAGGACCAATGTAGACAAAAATTCAATAATATAAGAGCATTGTACAAAGATTGCAAACAAATATTATCTGAGACTGGTGTAGGGTACAACAGTGAAACTGGAATGATTGACTTGGAAGCTGAAAGATAGGTTCGATTGTGCAAGGTTAGTATTTCAATACGTGTCTATTTACCATACATACAGTAAGTAATTAGTGATTTAGTATTAAAAGGGTTTGATGAACAATAATTGTAAGTTGATAACGTGTAGGTTCTCAAGCATGGAAAAAAAATAAAAAAACAGGGGTGTAAGAATTATGAGCAGATGGTAAGGATTTTTGGGAATACACATGCTACTGGCAAGCATGTTCATCCTTCTACAAAGCCACCCAGACCTCACCAAGTGCTAACAATGCCTCAAGTGGCAACACATGAAGCTCAAATTCATAACATTGAGGGCAATGTGGGCATGACTGATGTAGAACGACCTAATGTAGAAGGACCTATTGACCTTAGTCCTACTCCCAAACCTATAGCTAAGAAACAGAAGAAAGAAACTTTTTCAGAAACAATGTCTTTAGTGATGGAATGTTTGACTAATATTGGGAACGCGAAAGCTGAAAAAATTGCAAAAGCCATAACAGAATCATCTTCTAGTTGTCAACCATCTCGATTTACCGAAATGCCTGAAGTGACATCTCCCAGTAAAAAAGAAAAAGAAATGGATCCCCAGCTTGAAGAGTGCGTCAAGATCGTCAACACATTAGTGGGGATTGATGATACCCATTATGCTAAGATCATAAGGATGTTTGGTGAGGACAAGGTGTGGAGGGATATATTTCTTCGCATTCCTGATGAAAGGAAGGTTGGGTGGGTGATGAATCAGCCTCTATGATTTCTTCGGTATCTTACTTTTATGTGCTTTTGGATGACTGTTTTATAACTGCTTTTACATTACTGTTGGATGACTGTAATGAATTTTTCTTATCTACTGCTTTTACATTATTGTTGGAAGACTATATTTAATTCCTCTATCTACTGCTTTTAAATTAATGCTGGAAAACTATTTATGTTCTACATCTATTGCTTTTACATTGTTGCTGGATAATTGTATGATTTGGTATGTCTTTTCCATTTTGCTTCATTTTTGTTACAATAACTGCTTCTGTTTATTCTTAAATAGGATAGTAGCTATGGATATAAGGACAATATTAACCATTTATGATGATGATGATGAGGAGGAAATTCTTGTATTGATCGCAGCCGTATATAAGTACTATTATAAACATTTTGATAAACAACGTTGTAGGGATTCCATGTTACAAGGGGAAGATTACATATTCGAGGTCTTAAATGGACATGAAGATAGGTGTTATGAAAATTTTCGGATGTACCCCAACACCTTTAGGGCATTGTGTCGTGAGTTGAAATTGTTAGGATTGAAAGATTCAACATTTCTAACGGTGGAAGAACAAGTTGCAATTTTCCTACTTACCGTGTCTCACAATGAAAGGAATCGTGTCGTTGCTGAAAGATTCCAACACTCTACATCCACAATTTCATATCACTTTCATACTGTATTAAAGTTAATTTGTGAGTTAGGGACTAAGATTATTGTTCCCCCGGATTTGAATGAAATTCCTAAAGAGATAAAGAACAATCCAAAGTTTTACCCATACTTTAAGAATTGTGTAGGAGCCATAGATGGTACTCATATCCATGCTGTAGTGCTAGTTGACCAACAAATACCCTTTCGTGGTCGAAAGGGTGATACGACTCAAAATGTCATGGCCGTGTGTTCATTTGATATGAAATTCACATACATTCTAGCAGGGTGGGAAGGGTCTGCTAATGATTCGAAGATTTTAAATGAGTGCATTCAGAATGAGGATTTCAATTTTCCATCACCACCCGAAGGTAAAAATTTTAAGTTTTCATATTTGTGCATTTTACATTACAAATACGTTAACTTTAATACTTAACATACTTAAAATGATAGGTAAGTTTTATTTAGTCGACTCTGGGTACGCCAATCAACCGGGGTTTTTGGCCCCTTACCGAGGTCAACGTTACCATATGCAGGAATATCGTAGACATACTAGAGGACCACATGGTAGAGAAGAGGTGTACAATTTTAGGCACTCGTCATTGAGGAATATCATAGAGCGATGTTTTGGGTTGGTAAAGATGAGATTCGCTATATTGAAGTAAATGCCCCCTTATCACTTTGACACTCAAGTTCTTATTGTCATTGCCTGTTGTACATTGCATAATTTCATAAGATCCCAAGGTGAATCTGATGAAATTTTTGATTCTGAAACCCCTCAATCTTCACAAAATGAACTTGATGTGGATGACGATGTTCAGGTGGTCAGTGCTACTAATACACAGATACGACAGATGGATATTTATCGTGATGGTATTGCCAACCTAATTTGGGAGCACTGTAATCACTAATTATAAAACTGTCTAATAGTGTGTAGAATTAAAATATGGATGCCTGTAATAACTAATTATATTACGTAAATTAAACTCAGATGCTCCTTATTTATGGATAACTGTAATAACTAATTATATTAGGATATCAAATATTAAATGCTTTAGTACTTGTAGGCGCACTTATGTATAGGCTTGAAGGTGAGCGACCACAATGTGCATGTGGTAGAGGTCCTATGCATCTGTATAGGGCTCGAACTCCAAAAAATGATGGTCGACAATTCTATAGGTGTCCGGCTCGGGAGGTATGGTCAATTACTTTTAGGTGCTATTTCTGTTACTGTTTCCTAATTGTATAATTTATATTTCTTGTAGTCACATATGAATGCATTTATGTGGGTGGATGAGTTGCACCAAGGTGCACAAGTTGAAGAACAGGTTCAATCTGACTTGGACAGAGTCATTGCAATGATTCAAAATGAACAATGTAGACAGAAGTACATGCTCTTCCTAGGTTGTGGATGTCTTGCTATCACAATCATATTTATTGTGATTGTCCTCTTGTTGCTCATTATCGTTGTTATTGAAAGATGAAGTTAGATAAACTTCCATCTTTTGTAATATATGACATGTAATATGTATTTAGTTAATTTCCTGTGTTTCATTTGGTATGTAATATATACTTAAATGGTATATTTTGAACTACGTATTAGTTGCTGTTGTGTTATCTTCTCTGTCATTTTGGGAGTGAGCTTTAGGCCTCGTTTGGATTGAGGGATTTAGAGGGATTTGGAGAGAAAAGAAAGGGAAGGATAGTGTTAAGTGTGTTTGGATGGAAGGAATAGAAGAGAAAAGAAAGGATTGGGAAAGATTTGGAGGGATAGGCTATCCCTCCAAATCCCTCCACAACAGTAAAATCAAATCCCCTCAAAATTGAGAAAATTTGAGGGGAAAGGAAGAGAAAGCAAACAAAAGACAAAATTAGCCTTCCAAATTCTATATTAGGGCGCAGCAGCTTCTCCATCTCTTCTCTCGCGTCTCCGGCTTCGGCTCTTTAACACGGCTCAAAGAAGAAACGCTAACCCTAGGTCTGGAATCCTCAATTGGAGACGCGAAGGTGTGTTAGGCGATTTGCAGACTGCCGTTGCTGCTAGGTTTGTTTCCAATCTATTTCTCTCTATTTATACAAGTATATATATGTGTGTCTTTGTGTTTGTACATTTGGTCGATCCTTTGTTGATCACTTTGATCGTTCGCTCCGCTCGTCGTCTTTGTTTCTATCCATCCCCGGCTTAGATTGAGTTGCCAAGATAGGGGAACCTCGGCATAAGGGCTTGGCGCCAACACATGAATCTGACTTCATCGATTTTTATTCTTATTTTTTGATTTCAGAATCAATATACGAATTGATCTTGTGAAGAGCAGCTCGCCACTTTTAGATCTCAGTTGGAAGACTTCTCTTTTGCAAATATAAGGTACTCAATTGTTTTCATTTTTTTTTCTGTGTTCTTTATAAGTAAATTAATTACTAATTATTTGGTGTTTCTCATATTCAATTTGGCATTTTGAATTGAAGCTAGTGAATGGAAATTTAAGTTTGAAAATTTGAAGAAATTGGTTAATATGAATTTGCTGTCTTAATCAATTTTTGGATTTCAGTTAATTAGTGGATTACGTTCCTATCTCTATTACAGTCTTTAGCGCTCTCGCTCTTCTTTGCTCGCCGTGATACAGTAGTATGTGGTGGTTGTGTGCTTTTATCAGATGAGCTAAAATGGGTTCATTGAAGATTACCATCATATGGGTTGATTTGAGCACATTGAAGTTGTCATCAATATTAAATGATTTGAGCACATTGAGATTTTTTTTTTGTTTTTTAAACAGCTTACTGGTTAACACAAGATTTTAGTTGTAGATATATACAAAAAGTAACAGTACTACATTTTTTTCTGGTTATTAATATATCATTTTGCATTTTACAATTTTAGATGGACAAACAACAAAATGACATACTGCGTTTCCATCTTATGTGGGTACAAAGACGACGCCAAATTGCAACTCTAGTCATTCTCCTTGCCGTGTATTGGTTTAAGCGTAAAAAACGTAGAAACTATGTAGATAAACCTATTACACAATCAGAGATTGAAAGACAAATAACACGGGATAAACTAATGAACGAGCTTAGGGTAAGTGAGAAATGTCGTAACATTACTCGTATGGGACCAGAAGCTTTTCAAAATTTCTGTGAGATGCTTATAAGAGATGGTGGTCTTCGACCCACAAAACGTGCAAGTTGCTAAATTTCTGCACATTATATCACATAATGTGAGGAATCGGACAATGTCATTTTTCTTTTGTCGCTCTGGTGAAACCATAAGCCGTCATTTTCATAGTGTGTTAAAAGCAGTAATCTCATTGGAAGGACAGTTCCTCAAGCAACCTAGTGGATTGGACGTCCCCCCAGAAATACTCAATAATGATAGGTTTCATCCATATTTCAAGGTGAACATGATTAGTACTTAACTTAATACTTCAATTTTAACGATTTTATAAACTATTACATAAAATTTTTATTATAATGATTTTATCTCAGAATTGCATTGGGGCAATTGATGGAACACACGTTCGTGTGAAAGTATCTAACGAAGATGCACCCAGATATCGTGGTAGGAAAAATTATCCAACAGTAAATGTGTTAGCAGCTTGTTCATTTGA